CACAACTGTAGCTGTCCAGAGCAGTGAAAGTTACGCTGTACGCATGCAATTGTCTGTGTAGCCATTGCCACTGCTTAGGTCCGATATGTAAATATCAACGTGTAATCATCAGCACTGACTACACACTATTGATAGTTGCATGTCTTCTGATTCAATGGATCATTCATTTAGTCTTTATGTCACAGGAGTAAATATTTTGTGTATCTGTTTTTCATGATAGCATTAGGTTCACTTAGCGTGGCCGGTCATTAGAATGAATGATGAGGTATGAAGGCAGAACCAGCATGTTTCAAAGAGTTGTGGTTGCCCCTCAGGTCTGCTCTGGCCAGTGGGAGAAGCCATTTCTTCTTAGAATTTGATTGGCCTCAGAAAATCAAATTTTACAAAGATAGAAATGGCTTCTCCTACTGACTGTCAAAGCAGACCTGATGGGACAGGGGAGGTGAAGCTAGAATTGTCTGTGTTTTCCCCATCAGGGGGCCATTTCTGCCTATGTAGAATAGGATTGGCCACCCCCACTGACCGTCAGGGTAGATGTGATGGGGAACCAACTGCCTGCAATTTTGTTGGCAATAATGTTAACATTGGTATCCTTTATTGTTGGGGCACAGATCGAAAAAGCCGCCTGGGTCCTAGCATCTAGGTGAGCAGAAGTAGTGGCCAATAGAGGCCATTTCCACCAAAATGTTGTACATGTTAACATTGCTCAGATATTACATGCATGGAATGCACAGAGCACTTATATGCAGGATCTTGCTGCCAGCTTTTGCCAGCAGGATCCTGAATAAAAACACTGGAGCACAGTGTGAAATCAGTGGCAGGAAACCTGGAGCTCTTCTTTAATTCTGGAGCTGAAAGTATCTTTCACCAGTTATAACTCCTAATGCAATGAAAATCAATTCACAGCTTGGAATATCTCCAGAATATGATGGGATAAAGAGCAATTATATGCCATTACCCATAACACCCTGACTTAAAGTGTTACTAAACCCACAACAGTAAAATCAGTCTGTATATGCAGTAAAGCATGCTTGTTATGCTCCCTGTGGAACCTAAGGCATTAATTCTCTGCATTGTGTAAAAATGCTGTTGTACCTGTCTTCTCTGATCCTCCCCTTCTTCCAGTGTCTCCCTGTTATCTCCTGATAAGACATATCACATGCTCAGTTTGGTGTGTGTATTGCTAGAGAGGTTTTTTTTTCTTGGGAGAGTGCATATGATCAGCACAGGGCCAATTAGCACTGTCCCGACGGAGCTCAGGGGTTCTGCATCCTCCTAGAGCAGAATGAAACCGCCTCCTACAAGCTTTAACCAGTGCTCTGTGGAACACTGATAGAAATCACAAGACTGCTCTAACTGCTGAGAAAAGGTATTTAGCAGTTTATATTTCCTAAATAATTCTATTTCCATGTTGTGTGTACTGTGGGAGACCAGATATAGTGAATGCAGGGTCCTGGGTTTAGTAACACTTTAAGTAAAGAGGCTAGAAATCTTTAACATGTGCTTTACTAGCAACTGCCGGGCATATTTGGAAGAAGATCATAGGACATCCTGTTGATGTACATTGGGCAACTGTTACATTTTTTTCTTGAAATATCTGCAGATATATGGAAATCTTCAGGGCTCAATTAGAGCATAACGCATGTCATGCCAAGTGTTGACACTGTGGAACCTAAAAAGGGTTAATCCTCTGCATTGTGTAAAAAGGACATTTGATCCTGTCTTCTCTGATCCTCCCCTTCTTCCACGTTCCCCATTTCATCTCCTGATAGAACACAGCCTCGGGGACACACTACACATGGTCAGTTTGGTGTGTGTACCGTTAAGAGTTTTTTTTCTTTTGCTAGGCGGGTGCATGTGATCAGCACAGGGCCAATCAGCACTCTCCAGACAGAGGGACGGGGTTATGCAATCTAATAAGGCAGTGAAAGGAGAATGAAAACTCCTACAAGCTTTAACCAGTACTCTGCTGGACACTGATAGAAGTCACAAGACTGCTCTAACTGCTGATGAGAAAAGGCATTTAGCAGTTTATATTTACTAAAATAATTGCATTTCCTTGTTCTGTGTACTGTGGGAGACCGGATAGATGAATGCAGGGTCCTGGGTTTAGTAACACTTTAATTTTTCATTAGTTTAAACAGTCATGACAAAATAAAGACAGAAGACCAGAGGCAAAAGCAGGTAAGTATTAATACTGTTCTTCTTCGGCTGATTGTATTATTTAATGTTATTTTTAATTTGTTTTTCTATGTTTAAAAAAAAATAAAGTGTAGACACACCAAAAGATTACTATTTTAACTAGAAACACAGAGAAAGAGTTCCATTTCTTACTAGGGGCATGAATGGTGCTCGAGGATGCCCAAACTCTGATTTGTATCTTAGTGCAGACTTCTGGGTAAATCATTGAGCCAATGACAGAGGCAGGAAATGGCACTTCCAGGGAGCACTCCATACACCATGTGTGTACAGAACACCTCCAGGTTGCCATATTACATTGCATTTTACAGAAAATTACAGCCTAGATTGAAAATGAAGTTTTAAGACCATTCAGTTACAATATGACTCGTGTTGCAATTGTATATGCTGTATTATTTTTTTTATCGGCGATTTGTTTTCCCCCACAAAAGTGGAGTTACCCTTTAATATTTCCAATTAAAAGTCTTGCCAAGAGTAGATACAGTAAATGCCCCTGTACCATTATTAGCCCCCAATACAGGCCTCAGAACAGCAAGCAACCAAAAGCCAGTGCCATCTTCCACCAAGCCAGTAAGCAGTGTAGTATTGCACATGACGTTTTTCTTTATAAAACACTAATAGAGAGACGCCATCTACTTTCAAGTCTTCAGGAAAATGGCTTCTTTATTAGGGCCTATGAAGAAGAGTATTGCACAAACAGTACTGTGTAGTCCAATGGCTCGCTGGAAGCCATGAGCCTGCCAAATATAACTACTACTTCCAAAATTACACCCCCACGCCCAAAGAACAAAAGGTATAGGTTTGTTCTTATTCGGCAGGTTTCAAGGAGGTCAGTAAGGCTGGGCCGAGGAGTCAGGGAAGTCCCTAGTAGAAACGTAAATGAGAAAAGCACACAGTGGAAATAACGTGTAACATTTTAGTGTATACTTTTAGACTAGACTTGTAAAAGTGTATCTAAACCCAAAAACAAAAAATGTAATACATGTCAGCTTACCAGTTCTTAGATCAGGTGGTTACATTAGTTTATTTTCATTCGTTAGGTTTTATTTCCTTTATTTTACGTGGTGATGCTACAAATATTACACTGCCTGCCCTAGGGTCTATATACGTTCACTCACTCACTCACCCTACACTGTATCTATGAAGGAAGTCATGGTTGTTACCCAGGCTGAACATCAAGCATGTCTTCCTCTTTTCATCTCCATTACGTAAAGGATGGCGATACACAGTTTAAAGAATAATAAGATGAACCTGATCAGTGGTATTAAACCCAAAACCAAAAAATGAATGTAATATGTTGCAGCTTACCAATTCTTAGATGTGGTGGCTGCAGTAGTTTTAATTTTATTTAGTCTTTTGTTTTCACCTGGTGAGCTGATTAGTAACACACCTCCCGTATTAGTATGCCCCCACTCTGGATGAAGGAGCACAAAGTGGCACCTTTTGACAGCAGCTTTGTCAGTCTAGTGAATGGGAAAATTAGATGTACTAGCAGATTTAGATACACTAACAAAATGAAATCAAATTACAGCTAACGCTTTATAAGCAGTTACAGCAGTTTTTTTTTTGGGGGGGGATAAAGGACATATATATATATATATATATATATATATATATATATATATATAAACTGATCATTGTAAGCATCCCTGCCAGTGGTAAATGGTTTGTGGCATTCCTGCAACTGATACATGCAAGAGAGCTTGTTCTTTTGGCCAGATCACCAGATGAAAATAGAAGAAAAAAAGCCTAACAAAGAAAACAAATGCAGCCATCACCTTCAAGAATTGGTAAGCTGCAATATAATACAAGTTTGCTTTTGGGTTTAATATTGCATTAGGCTCCCTGCACATTCCTTGGCAAATTAAAAAAAAAAAAAATAAAAAGAAAACCGGTCATATGGAACGTTTTAGTACAATGTTTAGGAGTGGTTAACCTTTTTTTTCTACCATTAAAATCCAATCAAAAACGCAAACCAGAGGGTTTTTTTCCCCCTTTAAAGCTGAGCGTAGAATATGCCTTTAAATGTCCTAATATGCATGGATACATAGCTGCATAACACTGAGCTGCTTCTACAAACAAAACTTCTGTAAAAGTGGAGATTTTTTGAAGCCTGTGTGCATGGAGCCTTAGCCCTGGTTCACACCAAATGCGGCTTTAAAATTTCACTTCTTCAGCTCAAGTTGGGAGATTTCACAGCCGCTAGTCTGTGTAATTTCATGTGTGGCTTGCCGACATCAGATATCAATGCAAGTTGCACATGAAAATCATTAAAAATAGTGCAGGAAAAAAAAAAAATAAATAAATCGGTGCAAGGTGGAGTCCCATAGATTTGAACGGTTCCATAAGCACAAATAGGGTGCAAATTGTCATGCGATTTTGAACTGTCAAATTGCATGACAAATCGCATTGGAGTGAATGGGGGCCTTAAGGCGTTTTTAGTACTTAAAGGTAAAGAAAGGAAACAGAGTAGATACAAAAGTAACAATGTTACTTTGTAGCTCTCTATCTTGCATCTGAACAATGTTTATAAACATAGCACCAGCCAATATTTTTTTTGACTGCAAGAGCTATCACAGCTATTACATATGTTGTATTTACACAGCAACTTTTATTTCAACAGTTGGGATTTTTCCAGCAAGTGCAAGGGGGCAGAGGTGAAGAACTACATGTCCTGTGTATTTTTATGACATTTTTTTTGGATGTGTGTCCAGTGTGCACACCTGGTCAGGTATGTCCTGCAAAGGAAAGTGAACACTAAACCACATAGAAAAATAATAGTATGGAGTATGGGTCCTTACCTGTAAAGAGTGTTAAATGCCTTTTCACAACCCTGTACGTCACATTCAAATGGCTTTTCTTTTGTGTGAACACGTACATGGATTTTCAGACTGTAAGATGTAAGAAACGCTTTCCCACAACCCTCTTGATTGCAGACAAACGTGTACTCCCCTCTGTGTGTTTTCTGGTGTGTACGCAGATTTCCAGCAGTACTGTACGTTCTTAGGCAGCCTTCAAATGTACATTGGTACCTCTTTACCTGTAATAAAGCACAACATTTTACTTGTCTCTCTCCCAAGTTACTTCTTTCCTTCTATCCAAAAGAATCTAAATAATGCACAGACAATATATGTGTGAAAATTGTCTCCTGAAAAGTTACTAAATACGGAACTGTAGAAGAGATGAAAGCAGATCCAAACCATAACTGGATGGCATTTAGCCGGTTAAAAGCACTGTATAACAAGTGGCATGCTTTTTTTTTTCTCTAAAACATTGCTTTACCTTTTTTCCAATTTTTTTTGTATCTCACTGCTGCTGATCTCCAGTCATTTTTGCCACTTTCTGTCTATATTCACTAGCTCCAGCACCAGCCAAAGCCACAGAGGAGATTTCTCTTCACGCCATGTCCCAGAGACATAATAGAAGTGTGAGGAAATTTCTACAAAGTAAAGAGAATTCATCTCATAGACAGTTGTCACTGAAACAGGTGTGCCCATTGGAAAACCTACCCCGTTCAGGAGACAGCTCTAGACTTTTGAACCTAGCAACTGGTACACATAGGGGAAAAAAAAGAAAAACTTAAAAGCATAAAAGTTCACCTTCAGGAACATGTTACATGTTCTATGTTTTTAAGGTGGAACACGCAACATATTCCCGTTCCTGCAATGGCTCAGTGATCCGATCCCTCTGTGTGACAGCAGTACAGGGAGAGGTTTCCCGTGCCAGTTGTCACTTTTTGAAAAGAGAGTGGCTGCACGGGACTCCATCCACATGACCGTGTCAGTTATTCACATTAAGTACAGACACCCCCTTTGCAGCTGTCGGCTTGTAGTTCTCAATGTACTACCATGGCGCTGTTGTGCACTCTGGTAGTTCATTGATCCTTCTGTCAGTGTGAAACTGCCGGGCAGACAGCTTACACTGACAGTCTGCACGAGTCCTGCACGATCACTTGTGAAAGTCTCCATAAAAAAAAAAAAAATTGTAAAATGCCCTTTTTTTTCCTGCAGAAAAAAAAAAATAAGTGCCTTTATTTATTTATTTTAAAGGTGAGATTATCAATTAAAAGGGGCTCTAATCCTTCCTTACTGTACCCAAAATTAAGGAGCACGGCCCTCTGAACCCTCCTGTATTAAATTGTACTGTAAGTATACTGTCTGCCTTTATGTTGTAAAGCTCTGCGTAAACTGTTGCCACTATATAAATCCTGTATAATAATAATAAAAAACAACAAAAAAGATAGTTTGTCTATAGATATATGTAAACTTCATTCTCTTTAAGCCTACATTCACGCTGGCACATGGCAAAGAAGCTAATGCACCTTTTTGAACTTTGCATATTTTTGCACAGTGCCATTTTGCATGTTTTTCGTTTGTTCTTGAGCATAAACCTGATTCTTGCTTGGTGCATTTGCCATGCCATTAACAATTAAAGGGTTACTAAACCCAGGACCCTGCATTGATTATATCTCCCACAGTACACAGAACATGGAAATGCAATTATTTTGGCCCACAGCCATTTCCTCCTGTACCACTATCCCCTCCCTCCCTCCTAGATTGTAAGAACCAAGGAGCAGGGTCCTCAAACCCCTCGTGTATTGTATTGTTACTGTATTGTCTCATGTACTGTCCCCCACTCTAATGTACAGCGATGAGCAAACTTTTTGGCGCTATATAAATACTGTATAAGAATAATAATTTTAGCAAATATAAACTGCTAAATACCTTTTCTCATCAGCAGTATATAGCAGTCTTGTGCCTTCTATCAGTGTCCAGCAGAGTACATGCTAAAGCTTGCAGGAGGATTTTAATTTTGCACTAGGAGGATGCAGAACCCCTGACCTCTGTCTGGACCGTGCTGATTGGTCCTGTGCTGATCACATGCACTCTCCCAAGTATAAAAAAAAAATCCTCTCTAACAATACACACCAAACTGAGCATGTGCAGAGCGTCGCCACACAATATGTCTTATCAGGAGATAAGATGGGGGCACTGGAAGAAGGGGAGGGTCAGGAAGCAGTCAGGATTAAACAGCATTTTTATACAATGCGGAGAATTAATCCCTTAGGTTCCACAGTGAGTACAACAAGCATGCTTTACTGCATATACACAGGGATGTGCAATTTCTATAGCCTGATGCCTGGGACATGCAGCTCAGGGCGCCAGGCAAGAGGTTTTTCCTTATATTTAGCCCTGCTGCGGGCATGCAGCAGGAATTCAAGCCGATGGTTGCCTCTCTTGTAAAAGAAATCCAAGCAGCTAACTAGTCACTGGATTGCTTTTACAAGCAGCGGGAAGGGACATCCACCCTTCCGTGTGCTGTCCTGTTGCACCAGGACACCTGATCGACCATCTGGTACTTCCACTCTGATATAGGAAACAGGAAGCAATGAGCATACATCACGTCCGGTTTCTCTGAATGTAAATGGTGCCATTTTTAAAATGCATTTGATCACACCGATCTTGTGTGATCAAATGCTTTTAAGGGCAGAGGAGGAATCTGGGGTCTTATTGATCCCAGATCTCTTGATAAAGCGCACCTGTCACTGCCTATTGCTGTCACAACATATGTTTACATTCCTTGTGACAGCAATAAAAGTGATAAAAAAAAATTCAAGCGACAGTATTAAAATAAATTTTTTTAAAGCACCCCCATCCATGCACGCAAATGCAAACGCATGCGTTGGTCCTGCACACATGTACACAGAATTCGGTCCACACATGTGATGCAGCACCGAGAATGTCAGCTCATGGGCAGTAATTCTAGCACCAGACCTCCTCTGAAATTTCAAGTGTTAACCTGTAAAGACTTTGAAAGCGTCACCTATGGGTAGTAAATGGTCAGCATGACATGTTTGGTATCTATTTACTCAGAGTAACATCATCTTTTATATTTTTGCCAAAAAATTGGGTTTAGTATTGTATTGTTTTTCTACATTAAAATTAAAAAAAAAGTGTTTTTCCCCCAAAAAAATTGCATTTGAAAAACTGCTGCACACATATCGTGTTACATAAAAAAAAAAAAAAAATATTATATATATATATTTATACCAAAAGCCCCTTTTATTTTCCCCAACATTCCTAAAAAGCACCTCTGCATATCAACCCTTCATATTTTCCAAACTGGCAAAAATTGTTTTTTTTATATCAGGACAAGCAGATTGTCATGAGGGACAAGTAGACTGGAACCCTGATTTAGTCCTTGGACAAGTACCGGTAGTTTAAAAAATTTCCACACCTCTGATATACACACTAATTTTACTGTTGTGGGTTTAGTAACACTTTAAGGGCATCGCACATATGACACGTTTTTCACGTTTCATAAACACATGCAAAATTGTGGGATTTTGTGTGTGCTCACATGCTACAATAACGTGAATGTGGATAGTTTATAATCACCAGATCCAAGGTCTCTGGAAGACATTAGGTAAAAAAAAAAAAAAAACAATGAGCTGTGCAAATTACAAAGCTACATCTGCAATGCTGCTACTTGTGGCACATCACATGGCTGCATGTTACGCGTAAACATACACCAAACTTAGTATTTTTTACGTTTTATTGCATTTGAAGATAATTTCCAAACACGTTATCAGTTATCCACACATTAACATCTAAGTCTGGAATGCACTCCACTTTGCAAGTCAAAGTGAAACTGTGTAGCTTATCATTAATGACCCACCCTCCCATCTCTGGTTGTGCAAGAGTGGAAAAAAATACTGCATAGTCACACTTACAAAATATTCAAGGAAAATTAAAAAAAAACAAACAAAAACACAGCACACAAATGGCCTTTTATTAAACTGTCAATACTAGAGCGGGATAAAATTAGCTGTACTTGTCAAAACAACTTTAGCAGATACACAGACTTCAAGATTGTTTACTACAATATCAACATATTTAAACTTTTTAGAAGGCCTCTTAGGGCTCATGTACACTGCAGCTGCTAAACTGACATTCAGGAGCTGTTCAGTGTTTTTTACAGCAGCCCCTGAACTCTCCCTAATGTTTTCCTATGTGTCCATGTACACCATGTCGTTTACAGGCAGTTGAGTTTACAGTCGTTTTTTTTGAACGCACCAAAGTTGCATTCAGGAGTAGATTTTACCAGGGTTTCAAAGCCAAACGCTTGTAAACACGGTTAATCACGTTTATAAGAGTTTGTGTTTAGAAGCGTTTTTTTTACAGTTCCATATCCAGATGCTGTCCAGAACTTTTTTTCAATCATCAGAAATGCATGCAAAGCTTTTCCATGTATTCAAATGGACCTAGTACACCAGCGCAGTCAGTTCGTGAAGGAAAAAATGGTAGAACGTGCTGCATTATGCTCATGATGGGATTCATAGTGAATACAACCAGAAAAGACAGGAAATCTCAACACATACTGCTCTCTGCTTCTGCTCTCTCTATTTCTTTCAAAATGTCTGAAATAGTTAATTACTTACTATTTTTCATTATTTCATTATTCTGGGCATTTGGGAAGGTCTCCTGAGGTTATCTTTTAAAAACGCTTCTAAACGCAAACGCACATATACATGCATAAACGTGGTATGCAAACGCAAAATTACATTTTTTAACCTACAACTTCCAGCAGTCAGTTCCATTGTTCAGAAGAGTTTTCCAAACACCCCGTGTATATGAGCCCTTACACACACAGGTGCCTGAGCAACAAAAATTCTGAATGACCTGAACGGCTGCATATGGCTGTATTGGGGTATGTAGGTAATGATTCTATTTTTTTTGCATGCACCCCTATGCTAAAATAATAAACATATCATATTTACCTGCTCTGTGCTATGGTATTGTACAAAGTGGCCCCAAACCTCCTCTTCTAGGACTCCTCCTCTTCTGTGTGTGTCCCCATACAAGCGGTTTGCTATGAGGGCACACCTACAGGCTCGCTCAGATTATCGCTGAATTCTCACAGTCGCTCTGAGAAGAGAGCGGGACTGTCAGTCTCTGCTGTCTGATCTGCCCCCCATGCTCACTATAGCGCTGGGCTATGAAGGAGGATGGAGCAGCTGGCTCAAGCTCCCAGAAGTTC